GTATTTATTCTGACACCGATCTAACCATATGTATCTGTGGAAAGTTGTAGATGCATAATGGCATTCAGGAAATGCTCTACAGAATTCAAACATTACCTGAGAGAGAGGCCCAAAGGCAATGTTATTTGGTGTACTCAGTGTGGCGTTTGCCCTCCTAGGTGGGTCATAAGGAAAGGGTTAAATGAGTGTGAAGTGATTGGCCAGTGGGAACCCAAGGGGAGGAGTTAGAATTAGAGTTAGAGTTAGAGTTGTTGGGAAGTCAGTTGGGAGTCGGAGAAGGAAGAGGGAGGATAAGTCTGTGGGTTGGTCTAGTTTTGATGTGAGAGAGTGAGAGAAACTGTTAGGAGGAGTCAGATAGACAGTTGGGATAATCAGTTAGAAGTTATTAGGAAGGTATAGGCCGGTAAATAAACTAAGATTAAGAAACTGACAAGAAAAATGATCTGAAACCATAAACTTGTTAATACTTATAAAATAAACTTGCTTATTTGATTTAATGTTAACAACTGTCTGGACTCTGTGTGTACCCGAGAGAAACGGGTTGGTGGCAGCAGGGAAGCAAACACAGTGGTGGCACAGGGATCAATAGACCGTCAAACGTCCGGGGATCCTGTGTGATCACCACACTCAGTTCCAATATAGATTAGGGACAGAGGAAAATAGGGTGGATGGTCTTACACTAAGACTTGGGACACTTCCAGATTAAATACTTATTGAGCAGTCATCCTGATTTGTTTGAACAAAGTTTGGGAGGAGGTTATACAACACCAGCTGCTTTTTGAGCCTTCATTCTGATTTGAATGGAGGAAGGAACACATCATCATGTCAATCAACTGCTATCCTCCATTTTCCAGTACATTTGCCCACTGTCTTCCCGGCCACAAAAAATGTCAGGTTTTTTGGAAGTGGGTTTATTGCACAAGAGCACCAAATCCACTTAATGGTGCAATCTGAATTTGCCAGTCTGCAACTGACTCCCACCTACAAAATAGTAACAGACTAGAAGGGTCCTTGGAATTGAGACCTCCCAATTACAGCAATGCAGTGGTGTTGGAAAGGCTGGGGTGGGAGAGAGAAAGGCACAAGCTACTTAGCCAATTCAATGTATAGTTTTGTAGACAGACATGATTGCAGGCGCCTAGAATATGACAGCTTTGTGCCTGTGATATATCTGTTTATACATTTCATAAAGCCTCTCCAAAGTTTCCCAGCTTTCAGAATCTAAGCCAAAAAGTCACTACAACAAACTTCCATAGTCATAGTCATCTGGTATAGAGCTTTTTTTTTGGTCCAAATTAGTAACACTTAGCAAATAAGCAACAATATGACTGACTTCACTGGTGATTCAGTGAGGTTGGAGCTTAAAATGAGCTAGTGTTCAATTGCAAAATGTGTAAGGCAGGGGTTGGCAAACTACGGTCCCGGGCCGCATCAGGCCCATCAGGGTTCTAAATCCGGCCGGCCCGGCCATTTAAGAACCCACCGCGAAGCCAAGACTCCCGGTGATGGCGATGGCAACAGAAGGAAGAGGCCGAGCAGCGGAGACTCTGCCAATCAAACACCGCACCTGGTTTACCTCAGTGCGGAGACGTCTCTGCCAATCAAACGCTGAGGTAAATCAAGTGCGGCGTTTGATTGGCAGAGCTGCCACTGCTCGGCCTCTTCCTCCTGTCACCACTGCCGCCCTGGTGCCCCTGTAACTGCTGCTGCTCTGTGTCCCTGTGAGGGGGCAGCAGCGGCGTTCCTGGAGGACAGCCAGCCCGGGCTAGGGCTCGGTGGGGCCCTCGTTGCCACGCTCCCATTGGTGGCCAACATGACGGTGGAGGATGATGAGGCCAGCGGCGAAGTGGCCTAGGTGGCGGCCTTCACCCCCAGGGAGCAGGATGACAAAGGGGCGGAAACACCCGCATGGGGCGGAAGCTGCAGGTGAGGCACCAGCTTGTCCTTGTCTCCATCTTCGTGCTCCTTGAAGAGGTGCACCAAGAGCCAGTGTGGTGTAGTGGTTAAGAGCGGTAGTCTCTGGGGCAACCGGGTTCGCGTCTCCGCTCCTACACATGCAGCTGCTGGGTGACTTTGGGCCAGTCACACTTCTCTGAAGTCTCTCAGCCCCACTCACCTCACAGAGTGTTTGTTGTGGGGGAGGAAGGGAAAGGAGAATGTTAGCCGCTTTGAGACTCCTTAAAGGGAGTGAAAGGCGGGATATCAAATACAAACTCTTCTTCTTCTTCTTCTTCTCGGCCAGCTCCTGCAGGCTCCCAGCTTCCGTGGCACCCAGCTCCCACGAGTGTGCCAGCCAACTCTCCAAAACTTCCCATCCGCCACCCAACAGTGTCTGAGGGACAGTGAACCGGCCCCCTGTTTAAAAAGTTTGAGGACCCCTGGTGTAAGAGGCCTCTGTGCAGGTGTAGAGTACATTTCCCCCCTCAATTCCAAGTAGCCACAGAAACCTAGAGCTGGGATTTTAGGCTAAAGAGTCAAGCTTTCAGATAAACATTTTTATTAAAAAACAAACAAAACCTATTTGTCAAAGTTGGTTGTTCCTAAAACAGGGGTGGCAAACCTGTGGTCCTGCAGATGTTGCTAAATTACACTCCCATCAGCTCCAGCCAACACAGACAATGGTAAGGGATTATGGGAATTGTAGTTTATCAACATCTGGGAGATGCACAGGTTAGACATCCCTGTCCTAAAACTAAATTCTTCATCTCCTGCTTTATTCATTCTGCCCCAATTCCTGAAGTTGTTTTTGCCTCTCTCACCATCACCCCTAGTGCAGTATCAATATGCCAATATACACATTCCATATACCAAGCTAGTTTTTCAGTACCACATTTCCTGAAATCACTCTTCCCCATTGCAAAAACCAAAGCACACGATTCTGAATCAGAGGACATTTTCAGGTTCCCTACAACACTGGAAAGAATAGGGGGATAAGAAGCAAACTTGCAGAGAAAACCACCTCCCTTCCTCTCCCCCTCCCCACCAGAGGAACAGAATCCACTTTTAATTTTGTTTTTATTCCTTTTCTACAAATATAGAATGAGACAAGGAGCTTCCAGCTTGGAAGATAGAGGAAGAGAGCACATCACGTTACCTGGAAAAAAAATGCAATGATGCAGAAAGAAAGAAAGAAAGAAAGAAAGAACGCTAGAGAAAAGGAGGAAGGAAGAAAAAGTATTGAAAAAACAAGAAGGGAATAGGTATTGCTGAAATTGTGTCATATTTCTCACTTAGAAAGCATGGTTGGTTTTGGTTCAAATTCTTAGGTGTGAATATGAACAATTCACATCACTAGATAGTCTGGCCCATCTTCTTGCCTGGACACCACTCTCTTACAGACAAGTCTATTCACAGCCAAATATTTGCACTTGTTCTCTTTTTATGTACACTTTTTTCTTGTTTATGCAGATATGCACAAACTTCACAAAACGTATTTCTGAAGAAAGGAGAATTGGGACATGTTTGCTTAAAGCTTCCTTTATATTATTATTGTTGTGCTTTCCCTCTGCTAAACTGTTTTGACTTTTCTTACGCAAACACATATCTGTCCCCCATGAAGTAGGCAGTATGACAGCAGTTATTTTTTTGGGTTTCTAGCCTTAGTCATGCATTCAAGCAAGCAAGCAAGCAGTAACCCCATCCTCTCAAGCCCTTGCTTGAGGTGAAACTTCAAAAAAAAAAAAAAAAAAAAAACCAGAAACCTGGCATATAGCTTTCCCCCTGGGTATCCTCATGGGTCAGGTCAATGTAATCTGCTCCCTTATTTTGTTTTATAGCAAAAGTCACTGGAATATATATTTCCAGTTGGGCTAAAAACAGCAACAGTGTTTTACATTTCCTTTGTGCCATAGATTCTACAACAATGGCAAAAAGCCAATCAATTAGTTAAACTGCAATAAGCAAAAGCACGAAGAGCAGGCTGAGATGGCTAGTGGCTAGAGCAAACAGAAGATGTCAGTACTCGTGTCTTCTATGATTAATCTGGTAAGAGAAGTAGAATATGCATCTGAGATCCCTTCTGCATGTATCCCACTTGGCTTGGTTAGTGCTATGATCACTCCCACACAATTTATTCCGGATGCACAAAAGAGCTTCCACAGAGTTCCTCTGGTGGTGTGTTGAATATACTAGGCAAGCAATACAGAAACCACGATAGCCAGCAGCAATCCTATCAGCCAGATATGTGCAAAAGGAGCATGAAATATGGATCGCACAAAAGATCAATATACAAGGACTGAGCTTTTCAATACAACTAGAAATCAAATCTTTGGTTGCTTTAAACACCATTTTTGAGGCAAAGGAAGATGCCATCTTTTTGGAGTTGGAATTCTCACAAACATTGACTACATCTGGTGTGCAGGTGTGTAAATCAGGGGTCAGCAAACTTTTTCAGCAGGGGGTCAGTCCACTGTCCCTCAGACCTTGGGGGGGCGGACTATATTTTGAAAGGGAAAAAAAAAGAATGAATTCTTATGCCCCACAAATAACCCAAAGATGCATTTTAAATCAAAGTACATTCTACTCATGTAAAAACACCAGGCAGGCCCCACAAATAACCCAGAGATGTATTTTAAATAAAAGGACACATTCTAATCATGTAAAAACATGATGATTTCCGGACCGTCAGCAGACCAGATTTAGAAGGCGATTGGGCCGGATCTGGCCTTAGTTTGCCTACCCATGGTGTAAATCATAGGATCTAACATGTGTTAGCCTAACAGGCTTCAAATCATCTGATGCTGTTTTTGTTTTGTTTTTTAAATTATTGTTATAAGAAGCTCTGATAACATTTAACATTCTGAAATGTGTATAATAGGTATGTTTGCAGACCTGGATATAGGGGACAGAAAGCTCAACTTTGAGATCAGTGGCAGACCTTGGTATGTCAAATTTCAGTGGCACCCTGTGTGATGCCAAAGCCTCTTGCCTTCCATTCGACATCATAGTTGTGTCATCCCCAAGGCTCCACACATGTGTCGTATTCAATTAGGATTGCTCCCAGGTGTGGGGGTGCAATAGAAAAATAAGCACCCTTGTGCAAGATTGTGCAAGAGGAAACATCTGTTGACTCTGCTGACTTGTTCCCCCCACACGCCTGGGTCACTGTCGCTGCCTAACCGCAAAGCTTATGCGGCTGTCATGCTGTCTGGAGTTATGTCCTGGTAGAGAATAGTTATTCTAAGAAATGCAAACCCTAGCTGTTTTCCACCCGAGTGCTACACGTGTATATGCAACATGATGTAATGTGCGCAAGGCTAATAAACATGCAAGGCTGCTGGGGGACAGAGCTCACTCCTTGCTTAAACCTTCACCCATGACTCTTCGTTATTTTCCTCCGCACCTGGTGGGCTGGTTCCCCGACAAATGGTGCCTCGTGTGATTGCCTGAACGGCTTCCAGGACGCGTGCTGTCAAAGACGGTCCTCCCTGCTACTCACCCGCCAGGCTGTGGCTCAAGGCGCCTTATCATCTTCGGATCCCCGGTGAGTAGCTATTTTTCTATTTTTATCATGGGTTCTACGCTCTCCAACCCTCAGAAACAATTTTTAAAAGACATGCAGCACCTCCTTCGGGAAAATAAACAGCAAGTACCTGAAGGTGATCTAATTGCATTGATTCTGGCCATAGATGAACATTGTCCATGGTTCCCTGAGGACGGCACATGGGAAATACCAGACTGGGATAAAATTGGCGACCACTTTCATGGCCATGGCCGCATAAATCTTCACGTCCTCAGTGCCTGGGCTACAGTCCGTGGCTGCATGGCAACTCTTACGCCCAAAAACATCCTCTTGGCTTCGTTGCAACCACAACAAAAAACAGTCCTGAATATGCCTTTCATATATCCGGCTGCACCGCTTCAACCACCACCTTTTACTCCGCCACGACCACCAGATTATCAGCCTCCGCCGACGCCACTGGGGACTGCAATTAAACAAGCAGCCCCCCTCTTAGGTCTTTCATCTGGCACGCCAGTGGCTAAAGTCATACTGCTCCCTGCGGATGCCACAACTCCTACAAATCCCCCCTTAATTGCTGCTGCAATGCCTCTCACAGCTCAGCGCCCTACATTAAAAATGACACTGGGTGGACGTGAGGTAGAGGGGGTTCTGGATACAGGGGCAGATGTTACTGTGATTGCTAAACAAGACTGGCCTCCCGAATGGCCCACGAAGGCAGCTGCCCAAGTTTTGGGTGTCGGGGGAGAAGTGCCAGCCTGTCAAAGCCTCCACCCAATTGATATCCTTGTGGCTGCGAAGCACATATCAATGGAATTATTAAGAGACCTTACATCTGCCCTGACAGATTTTGGACTGTGTATTGCCCCAGATAAGGTTCAGCAAACTTTGCCTATGTTGTATCTTGGACATAAATTGACACAACAAGCTGCTATTCCGGTTGTTCCCCAATTGTCTTTTCCTGCCCGCCTATGGCTGGTTGACCTTCAACAACTTTTGGGACACCTGAATTGGATTAAGAATTACCTTAATCTGCCTACTAGCACCTTGTCACCATTGTTTTCTGCCTTACAAGGACACAAACTACCCGGAGAAGTCATCCCAGTTACAGAAGAAATGCTACAAGCCTTACAACAGGTTAATGCTTTATTAAGAGACCGAATGGTGGATCGCATAGACACTCTGCACAATGTGCAGTTATCCTTGGCAATTTTTTCCACACCTTTGCTGCCTACAGCCATTCTCTACTCACAGAAATCGGCTGCCCCTCGGGTGTCAACATTGTGGAATGGATCCACCTTCCGCATACTCCACCGCGTAACATTTATTCCTCTCCAGCGGCTGTAATGGATTTGGTAATTAAAGGGCGCGCTCGAGCAAAAGCCCTCTCTGGACTGGACGTTGAAAAAATTTACTTGCCTTTTTTCACTCACAGAAACACAACACCTGATTTCCACCTCCGTGGCTACTCAAGTAGCACTTGTGGATTTTTTGGGAACCATCACGCATAATCCCCCCTCTGATCCACGCCTGGCTTTTCTTTCTCAAACTGTCTATACTTTAAAAACTGCTCTCTCTCCGACCCCCATCCCCTCTGCCCTTACCCTTTTCACTGATGGGTCAAAAACGCGGGGGGTGGTGGCATGGGAGGAGGGTGGAAAATGGAAAACTGAATTTACTGAGCAACAGAGGTCCGCCCAGCGGGCTGAACTTGCTGCTGTAATCCTTGCCTTTCAACTCTTTCCTGACAAACCTTTTAATTTGCTTGTTGATACACAATATGTGTATCACCTTCTGTCTTCCCTGCCTGTTTCTTATATCACGCCTGCGTTAGATGCTGATTTGTTTGTTCTTTTTTCTACCTTGCAGTATATTATTCAAGAACGCCGTCATCCTTTTTATGTTGCACACCTTCGTTCCCACACCAATCACCCAGGGTGGTTGGCTCAGGGAAATGCCGTGGCAGACGCTGCACTGCGATCTGAAGTGTTTTCCTTGTTTTCTGACCCTATTCTCTCTCATTCTACCTTTCACCAGCCTGCTAAAGTTTTGGCAAAAATGTTTAAAATCCCTATTGCACAGGCACGAGACATTGTCTCTCAATGTCCTACCTGTTCTAAGGCTCCAACCATGATTCCCTTTGATGCGGTGAACCCTAGGGGTACGTCCCTCTTGCGGTTTGGCAGATGGATGTCACTCACACCCCTCTGCTTGCCCCATTTTCAAAAGTTCACTTGACAGTGGACACCTCATCTGGATTTATCTGGGCCACCCCATTGAAGGGTGAGACCGCTCGTCACGTCATTCAGCACACCCTGCGCTGTTTTGCTGTGATGGGTAAGCCACAAAGCATTAAAACGGATAATGGCCCAGCCTATATTTCCTCTCAGTTTTCATCCTTTTGTGATTTATGGAATGTGAAATTAATCCATGGTTTGCCTTTTAATTCAACAGGACAGGCGATTGTGGAGAGGGCGCACTTGACCTTCAAGACACTGCTGTCCAAACAACTTGGAGGTCGAAATGCCCCCTCCGCCGAGATTCCTTCAATTGTGCATACTGTTTTATTCACTCTTAACCATCTTTTGTATCCCCATAATAGGGAATATACACCGGCTGAGATTCATTTTCGAAAAGCAGAGCCTTTGGCTCGGCCTCTTGTGTCTTACAGACAGCTACCTGATCCAACATGGCATGGTCCTGTGCCACTCATCTCCTGGGGACGCGGCTACGCGGCAGTGGACCTGGATGGACGGCCTACCTGGTTACCAGCGCGCTGTGTGCGACCCTGGCGAGCTTCTGCCTCGGAATGAAATTTATGACTCTGATTAAATAATAAAAAAGGAGGGCATGTGGGGGTGCAATAGAAAAATAAGCACCCTTGTGCAAGATTGTGCAAGAGGAAACATCTGCTGACTCTGCTGACTTGTTCCCCTCACTCGCCTGGGTCACTGACAAGTTGCCTAACCGCAAAGCTTATGCGGCTGTCATGCTGTCTGGAGTTATGTCCTGGTAGAGAATAGTTATTCTAAGAAATGCAAACCCTAGCTGTTTTCCACCCGAGTGCTACACGTGTATATGCAACATGATGTAATGTGCGCAAGGCTAATAAACATGCAAGGCTGCTGGGGGACAGAGCTCACTCCTTGCTTAAACCTTCACCCATGACTCTTCGTTATTTTCCTCCGCACCTGGTGGGCTGGTTCCCCGACACCCAGGTATGTGTGCACAGGTCACCTGCATTATGCAGATCTTGAGATCTTTCTCTAGAAGGATCTATCCCAGACAAAGCTGATAGGCCAATGAACAAGTCCAAGATTATTTTCTTTTTCTTCTAATAGTGATCTGACTACAGTGGTACCTCGGGATGCGAACGGGATCTGTTCTGGAGCCCCGTTCACATCCCAAGCAGAACGTAAGATGCGACAGTGCGTCTGCCTGTGCGCAGGTCGCATTTCGCCGCTTCCGCGCAAGCACGTGACGTCATTTTGATCGTCTGCGCATGCGCGAGCGGCGAAACCCAGAAGTAACGCACTCCGTTACTTCCGGGTTGCCGCGGAGCGTAACCTGAAAGTGCTCAACCTGAAGCGTATTTATCCCGAGGTATGACTGTATTTGTTGAGTTGTTCACATTTAAGGGAAACACATCAAATGGCAAGACTGACAATCACTCTTTTAGGCAGCAATAAAAACCAAGCCTTTAATACAGAAGCAGATGCTTCTAATAATAAAGTGGCAAACTAGAAATAAACTTTCTCAGGGCAACAAAAATAAATCTCTGGAGCTGTTGCTACTCAGGCTGCAATCTGAAACACATGTATTAGGAAGTCCCACACTGAACTCCCGTCTCAGGAAACAGGCATGAAATTGCACAGCTGGAATTTTTTTATGCCCTTTGCATGACCGCTTCCAGAAAAGGCAACTATATATTTGGATTACATGCTTGAAATCAATTTACTGCATACAAAGCATACCATAGCACTTTGTTACTACAAGTCAATATTGCTAATGGCGATAGGACACACTGAGACTGGGGGCTTGTCCAGACGTCCTCGTCCCATGCCTAGAAAGCACAGGTCCGAGAGGTTTTCTGTGTTTTTGGCTGTTTTTTCTCCGATCGAGTGCTAAAGAGCGGTTTCCCAGGGGAAAGCAGTGAGACAAGACCATGCGCCCCGGGAATGCAGCCTGCCTACAGTCACCAGCAACTTCCCAGTTCAGCTTAGGCTGGCTCTAGAAATAATAGTATGTGCAGTGAGTGGGTCATAGACTCACATATGGGTTCTCTGCCACAATACATGCACATCTCCCATTTTTGTAGTTCTTCCATCCTCAAAAGGAAGTGTTGTAGGCATTGGATATATGCCTATACAGTTGTACAGTACCTTGAAGTCAAACAGAATCCGTTCCAGAAGTCCGTTCGACTTCCAAAACATTCAGAAACCAAAGTGCAGCTTCTGATCAGTTGCAGGTTTGCGGCATTCGGGAGTCAAAACATTGGGGAATCAAGCTGTTAAAAAACCAAGGTACTGTACGACTGTAGGTTCGCATCTCTCTCTCTCTGACACACACACACGGTGGCAAGTGCAAGCACATACACAAGCAGTATTCTTATACAGCAAACCAAATGAACAAGATTGTGTCAATATCACCTTAAGTTATTATAAACCAAAATGGAAAAGCAAGGAGCAATACATACAACCTCAAAATAAAACTGAGCACATCAACATTAAGTTTCATATTAGGGTTTGTGCATACCTTGCGTTTTGTCACCATGCATGCAACATGAAAATCCTGCTGTATACAACAAGCCTTTTGCTCTTGATTAAACAGGTGCTATGGGAATTTTCAGCCCATCCTTGATCATAATTAGAGCTGTAATCCCTGGTTTTTATGAAGATATACTGGATTTTAAATCAGCTTGGACAATATTTTTTTTAAAGATTACTACTGTTTGTTTTGTTTCTGTTCTTAGAAAAAAGGAAGAGGGAAGAAAATAGATTATTATACTCCAATTAGCCTTAAAGGATAGATGGTAAAATCCTTTGGTCATGGGCCCATATATACAAACTTCTATATTATTTCAAACAGGTGCTATATGTGTTATAAAAGGAGAAGCCCAATAGTTACCAAGATAAATGGGGGTGGGGAGAGAACGATTATAGGGTGACCACTTCTGGAACTCCCTCTCCAAGGATGTTTTTATGGCTCTTTCGCTGTTAGTGTTGGGGGTGGAGAGAGCACTTAAAACCTTTCTTAGTAATTGGGCTTTAGAGCCTTCACACAGAGCCATAGATGGGGGGGTGGCTAGCTGGGTATTTTGCCCCAGGTAAAACCTTCAGAGGGGCACCATTGAGGCTCCCAGCCTGTGTGTGTGTGTGTGTGTGTGTGTGTGTGTACACAAATGTGCATGGGGGGGTTGCCAAACTGAGTCTTTGACCTGGGTGAAATAAAGCCTGGTTTATTCCCTGCCTTCCTGGACATTACAGCTGCTGGGAGTCTTGTTTGTTTATACGGTTTTCCTGCATATGCTGCTCTGATCTCCTTTGGGAAGGAGAACAAGAGATAAATAATTTCAATCAAACCAACAAATACATAAATGCTCTCTAGGCTGTCCAGAACAGTTCGCTTTCTCTATTGGACACAACAAAAGGTTCATCAGTTTGATGGGCAGCACCAGGAAAGTGAAATGAGAGTGGGCCCCTGGCCAAGCTGCCACTGCTGCCTAGGTCAAACAGAAGAAAGACACAAACAAACAAACAAACAAACAAACAAACAAACAAACGGAGAGCCTGAATTATTAAACAGTTGTAAGGCATGTCAAGTGGGGACCTGCAACCGCTTTCAGATGAGAAAAAGGAAGGAGAAACATTCTGCCCACCCGACCTCCTGCTTCTCAGCCATGCTTTTCTCTTTTTTGTGATAGTGATAATGCCCCTCATCTCACAATTCAGTTTGTGGAGATATACAGAGATGTAGCATTAGAAAGAGGATGAACAACCATGTGCGCCCGCCTACCCCAAATCCTTCTTTTTCCAACCCTCCTTGCTGTTAACAGGCAGCCCAGCGGACATTCTGTACACATGTCTAGCAAATGACAGGACAGTG